ACACACACCTTACATTCCCTCCCCGCGTCACGTTGTCCCCCTCTTATATATACCCGCCTACCCCATCTAGTAATACTAGAGCATTCACGAAGAAACAAGATAGTTCTAGAAACTAGAGGGCGCCACACCAGTCACGTGACCTCGATGACGCAACAGTTGTATGGTTAGTATTATAACTATACTACTGATAATATTAGAACAATAATAATAATAATCTTTACATTGTTAGAGGTACGTTACGGCAGACTCGAGAAACAGAACGTTACAAGCAATTCTATAATTTAACGAATATTCTAATGTCACACAGTTCTATGTACTAACCCTGAAGAAGCCACAAAGGCGAAACGTTTGTTAAAATAAAAAGTTATTTTATAATTAGCTGGAGTAAAAAGGTCGTGGTTTTCTAACCTCTTTACCAAAATAAGGATTTCTAGCTTGAAGAAATGATGTCTCAAACCTTAAGCTTGTTTACTTTTTTTCGATTACATTTTCACTTTAAGCTACCTATGTTGTTTCTGTATTTTTTCCTTTTTTAAATTAACAATTTTTAATAATTTGCATAAAAATCTTTGAAACAAACTATTTATCACTGCTAAATTAGGAACGAATAGCGCAGATAGCCATCGAGTAGTTTTACGTGAAATTCCAAACAAGCCAAAGTTTGTCTTGAGGTTTTAGAACAAAAATGAGAAATCATCAGCTCATTAACGCCCGAAAACGTATCCACTAAAAGTACGAATTTGTTTCCTTCCCATCCCTTGGTGGGACAGCGGTAAGTTTACGAGCTGACAGCGCTAAAATCCGATAGCCCAAGCTTTCTCCCCATCGCTTTTCGTTAAAAATAAACAAAAAAAACACTTTAGAACTTCCATGTCGCCCTCCTATTTTTTCTTTAAGGGCCAGATATGGCCTATTTTTTAGTGTGCCTGTATTGTCAAAATAAGGGTGCATGGTTCGCGTCTCGTTGCCACAAAAATTCTCCCCACACTTTGGGGTCGTGGGTAAGATGTAAAAGTGAAGGTAAAGTCCCATTATTCGATCAATCAAAGCTAGGCCACCAGTTGACGATGAGTGCTGTTGCTTGTCTGCCTTTCCTCTAGTCTGTCAGTTCAAAATTAGAAATGGCTATAAACAGATAGTCCCTGTGTATTTTTGGGTAAACATTCTAAGTACCTATCTATTTATCTTTCACATTAAAATATAATAGTTTCAAACTTGTTCTGAAATTTTTGTTGAATAAAAAAGCAATACAAAAACAAACAATTTAACACAGTGTATTTAGTGTACATGTTGAATTAAGTAACAGTGATAGTTTTTACAGACGTATCTACATTAGTAAGAATATATCATCTGAATTCAATTTCCATTAGATGGCGCTACTAAACACGCCATTCTCACGCTACTGAGACTGATAGTGGCATACAATTTAGTAACTCACCTCTTAAAGTAATTTTTTTAATTCCACACTTAAACTTTTTTTACATCTAAGTTTACAGTTTTATAAAGCAAAACATCTAACTGAAATTCTTTACTTAATATCAGCAGCAGGAAACATTCAAAAATCTAAAAAGTGATGCCTGGTTTGGTACAACACGATCTTTATGTATGCGACACCTAACTAATTTCATTTAATATATTTGTGGAACACAAAAACTAAAATATAAATACCTAGCATTATTGTAAGTTTATTGTGAACTTGATAAAACTCCACGGGTATTAATGGGTTGAATATCGAGTTTACTCACGAAACAGTTATTCAATATATCAACACAATAAGTTCACGCACGAAACAGGTAGTTGTATATCGACGCAGTACGTTACGATTTAATGGGTTGAATATTGAGTTTACCCACGAATATTGAGTTATATTTTCAGATTGGTATGGTTCTGGTGGTAAAAATATGGTCAAGTTTGTCTTGAGTTATATTTCCAGGTTGGTATGGTTCTGTTGGTAAAAATATGGTCAAGTTTGTCTTGAGTTATATTTTCAGATTGGTATGGTTCTGGTGGTAAAAATGTGGTCTAGTTTGTCTTGAGTTATATTTCCAGGTTGGTATGGTTCTGTTGGTAAAAATGTGGTCTAGTTTGTCTTGAGTCATATTTCCAGATTGGCATGGTTCTGATGATAAAACTATGGTCTAGCTTATATTGAGGTTTATTTTCAGGTTGGAATTGTCTGGTAGTAAATCATTAGTTTCGTTTGTCCAGGTTTGTTTGACCAATTGGTTTGGCTGGTGTGTCTTCAGGCTGTTTTTCAGATGATGTGGTTTTGGCGATAAGTTTCTGTCAATGAAAAGTAGTAGAGCTTGTTGTTTATTTTCACGTTTTGGAGGAAAAAAGCAAGAGTCTAATTGTCACAACTCTGGCAAGTCGTTTTAAATACGTTTTTGAAGCTTTTATTTTTTTCAATGACGTTCACAAATGATTTTATACTTTTGAAAAATGATCTGAAGACTAATAAAAAGAACTGTAAATATTTTATTCACTGAATATTTACAATACTTTTCATTGTTTGAAATGAGTATATAAAAATTTAAAGAAGGATTCTGGGGAAAAAACATATTTTTTCTCCCAAATGAATTTACAGTTATAAATTTAAGAATTAAAAAAATATATTCTAGGTTAACAGTTCATCACTGAATTAGTCTTTTAAATGTGCAAGAACATCTTAGCCCATTTTATTTACCATAAAATTGAACATACTGCTACTGTTAAATGTGATATTACAATCGTTATTTGCCACATCTAAAGCAGGTTATTCAGGATAATTTACGCTCGTCCTGCGTTTCTTGCGAGGTTTGTTGTTTGTCGTGGTATGGTCTTTGTTGTAAAATATGTTGTTTGTCTTGAGGCTTATTTTCAGGTTGGTATGGACCTGGTGGTACAATTTGTGGTTTGTGTTGGTGATTATGTATAGGTTCTAAACAAACCAGTTATTGTGGAACCAGGTCCATACAAACCTATACACAATCACCAACACAAACCACAGATTGTACCACCAGGACCACCTCGACCAGAAGTAATTGACCTAAACAAACCAGTTATTGTGGAACCAGGTCCATACTCAATTACTTCTGGTCGAGGTGGTCCTGGTGGTACAATCTGCGGTTTATGTTGGTGGTCATGTCCATGTGGCACAACCTCTGGTTCGTTTAGGTCAATTACTTCTGGTCGAGGTGGTCCTGGTGGTACAATCTGTGGTTTGTGTTGGTGGTGTACAGGTTGGTATGATCCTGATGGCAATACTTGGGGGTTCTGCACACCTGTTTCTTCTTCCTGTCGACAACCTGAAAGAAGTACATAAAATGTTTGAAATAAATCACAGATCTTGGCTGAAGAAAACACTGAATGAGTAAATAGCAAATGTTTTATATGGTCTCTGAAAAAGTGAAATTATATGAATATGCCACGAATACATCTCATGAATGATCTTAATTTTGATTGTCTCACAAAGGAATTTACCAATGTTTGACTGCCTTGACTTCACTTTTTTGGCTCTTTGTTGGTCAAGCTTGATTTTGCAAAACTTATATATTTCAGTTAGCTATGAAATGTGTGGTTAGGGTATACTATCATGTGGGGGTGGTAGTACATGCTCCGTCATTTTTGACTGGATATACGCTAGTATCATTTAAAATGTAAAAAGTGTTGGTGGAATAATTCCACAGGTTGTGATAAGCCTGGTAGTGGTGACGTTCATTAACCGTCTGTTGTATATGTGGCATATTCAGGAAAAGAAGAACTAAGAAACCTACACTTACTCAGAACAAAGAATGAATTCAGAAATAATATTGATACACTACAAGAAGATAGGAACGCATGATGCATTCACATACCACATATCCATTGTATTATGTGTAGTCTATACCTCGATCGTTATATCTCATTAACCACACGAGAGCGTCTGTAACATAATTTAGCATCTTGTTTTATGTGAACTAAATCACCACCAGAGATCGTTATCAAAAATACAATAAAATGCTTTTGCATTACTGATTTATTAAATTCCTTGTACGTGAATATTCATATTGTCGCTAATCTTGAGAAGAGTCCATGGATAAAATTGAAAGCTTGCGTTTATTAGAGTTATCCAAAAAAGTTGATTACAAATGTTTAACACAGGTGGAAATAATTATTTATAAAACAATTGTTAAAATACAAAACGCATGAAAATTGTAAAATGTATTATGGAGTTATCTGGATTATAATTAGTAGAGATAGAGAAAAGTTCTGGAATATTCTTTCAGAGAAAATTTTAATGTTTTGATCAGTATAGTTTCTACGATTCTTCTTCTGTTTATATCAGTTTCACTTCGTATAATTTTAATGTTGTTTCTGGATTATGAAGTTTTTGGTTTATTTTAAATGTTCAAAAACAAAGGACGGTCTTTTCACTTTGAATTTGTAATTATTGTTTACCATACACTACTGAAAGCCACACTGTGGGCTGAAAGTCGTAGATATTAATCTTTGAAAACATTTTTCATTGTAAAGCTGATTAAAATATTAAATATGAACTCTTTGTATTCATCATCGACCGAAATGAGGTAATGACGACAAATATGCTCGAAACTATAGTTCTCAGTTAGACTTAGTAGAGGATTTGTTATAGAATTTGGACAAATATGTTCATATTATACTATTTATCATGATGTCAGACATTTCTCCAGTTTAAATACATACATTGAATACTACATAAGCTAACCATGTAAAGTAAAAGCAAAATTAGATAATTCTCTTTAATTAAAACATTTCACTCAAGAAATCCCCGAGAATGGTACCATAAAAACAGAAATCATCCGGTTAAAACTATATTTGAGCACACAGAAAAATCTTTGTTTCAGAAATGGTAAAAAGACAAGAAAATAAGCAGTATATCTGTAGATAATAATTATTAAATATCCACTTTTCTTTTATACAGACCTTCCGATGTCCTATCATTGCATTTCTTTGTCAACACTTGCAAGGTTTTGACATGGGCCTCAACTAAATACACTGCAATAAACAACAGGACTGAAGCTGTTCTAAAGGCTTTCGTAGTCTTCATGCTTCACTCCTATCAGCCTGAATTCTCCTGGTCTACGCGACTTAAAGAGACAGACTATTTATATAAAAATAGTCCATTTTGACGTAATTACTGTATCCTTCCTCACATAGTGTATGTCTGATGCGTTCGTGATTACATATGCATATATTTTTTGTGAGTGGGGTTTCTCAAGTTTTCCTCGTCAGTTTGCTAGGGAGCGAGGGGGGGTGAACGTCACCCCTAAGAAAAGTTATACTTTCAGCTCATACTTCCTCATTGTCAAGTTGAATATAACTAGTAATTTTGATGTGTAGTTGTTTTAGTATATAAATAGAAGTTAGTAAACATTCAGTAGACACATGTTTTAAGGTTCGGGTATGATCTAGTGGTTAGCGGGCTCGGAGAATAAATCCAACAATTTATGGTTCGCGGCCTGTTATCACAAAAACGTGCTCTGTACTTTGAGGGTGACTATTTGTTTTCTCTCTAGCCTATCAGTTCCAAATTAGAAACATAATTCTTCACGTAGCTTCGCACGAAAATTCTGAATCAAGCTTTAGATAACAATTCATAATTTACTAAATTGATAGAATTACACATTCTTAGAACTTTAGCTGTAATAAAAGTTTGGGGCTTCTCTTCACATTCGCTCCAAATTCAGAATTTTTGAATCACCGCGTTTGAAAACAAAGCACCCAAGTTGTATCAACTTTCCTCAATAGTGGCAAGGTACGCATAGAAAAAATTAAAAAGCTTTTCCTTAATTAAAATGTATTATATTAAAAATGCTAAAATTATCCATGTTCATTAACTAAGAGATCTTGATCCACACAAACTAAGATATACTGGTTATCTTGATCCACACAAACTAAGATATACTGTTTATTTTGATCAACACAAACTAAGATATATTGTTTATTTTGATCAACACAAACTAAGATATACTGTTTATTTTGCTCAACACAAACTAAGATATACTGTTTATTTTGATCAACACAAACTAAGATATACTGTTTATCTTGATCCACACAAACTAAGACATACTGGTTATCTTGCTCCACACAAACTAAGGTATACTGTGTATCTTGTTCCACATAAATTAAGGTATACTGGTTATATTCCTCCACACAAATTAAGATATGGCTTAGGCATTAGTGTGTCCAAACTGTGATTCTGAGGGTTCATGGTTTGTGTTCTGATACCGTAGAAATTAGCTTTATACTTTGGGACTGTGACATTCAAATCTCACTATTCGAACAGATACAAATAGCTTAATATTGTTGGTGTGTCATTAGCTAGTTCCCTTTCTTTTGGTCTATAAGTGTGTGAAAAATCTGAAACAAACATTCTTTACAGACAGGTGGAAGCGACAGCTATATAGTGACGTCATTACAGGACTAGCGTTGCTAAACTAGAGCAGGCTTACTGTATGTGACATAATCTTGTATGTAGAGTACATTTCTGGGGGAGATTAAGATTAGACATCTACGCATTTTTTGGTCATTATATGTTGTAGTTCAACATGGTGCTATAGATATATTTATATTAACATCATGTTTTCTATGTGTTTGTATATATATATATATAAACACCAGATATTCATGTATATATATATATATTACAACCAGATATTCATGTATATATATATATATTACAACCAGATATTCATGTATATATATATATATTACAACCATTTTTACATATATATATATATATTCATATTCACACACAATAACATTTCTAAAACATGGTTTCTACGTTAACGTCACAGTGTGTAAATAATTACCCTCGGAATACTGAAAATACTTCTATATACTGCACAAAGCAGGCAGTGAGTTCCATAATGTTCTAGACCTTACACACCAAACCAATAATCTGCAGTCCAGTACTTACACACCAAACCAATAATCTGCAGTCCAGTACTTACACAACAAGTTAATAATCTACAGTCCAGTACTTACACACCAAACCAATAATCTGCAGTCCAGTACTTACACACCAAACCAATAATCTACAGTCCAGTACTTACACACCAAACCAATAATCTGCAGCCCAGTACTTACACACCAAACCAATAATCTACAGTCCAGTACTTACACAACAAATCAATAATCTACAGTCCAGTACTTAAACAACAAGTTAATAATC